GAGCCTGCTTCCGATTCTGTGTCTCCCTCTCTCTTTGCCCCTCCCCCGTTCATGCTCTGTCTCTCTCTGTCTTGAAAATAAATAAACGTTAAAATAAAAGTTAAAAAAAAAAGTCGTGAATATTTGAGGAACATTTGCTACAAAGGGCATAAAATCATTAGAAAGCTGGGAGTGACCACATGCCTCCTTATAGCCTTGGCTATAGCTTGACCCAGGACCAGTTTTTATTTTTATTTTTATTTTTGAGGGAGAGGGCACAGGGGACAGAGGATTCAAAGCAGGCTCTGTGCAGAAAGCAGTGAGCCTAATGTGGGGCTCAAACTCACAAACTGTGAGATCATGACCTGAGCTGAAGTCGGATGCTCTACCAACTGAGCCACCCAGGTACCCCGACCCAGGACCACTTTTAAGAGCTAAAAGATCACAAGATTTTTTATTGTATTATTTTTATTGTTTTTTGAGTGCAATGAAACTCTTCCTTCAGGTTGACTTTGCATGAAAAATCTCTGCAGGTGGGCTATAACCATAACGTTTAAAGCTTGGCCATATGGGAAGAAAGCTAGCATTTATCCAGTGCCAATCATACGCCAGAATGCATAAACCAGACACTTCTGGTAGATTATTCAATCCTTATGACTGCACTATGAGGGAAGTGCTATACCCCTTTTGCAGATAGGAACTGAGGCTCGAGGGTAATCTGTAACTTGCCTCAGCTCACCCAATCTGTCACAGGCTGGTTGATGAGTCCACGCCAACTCAGCACACAGCTCACAGATGGGCTTCAGAAAACACTCGTGATTTTAAGAGAACCACATCCTCTTGATGAATACATTTTCTTGACCTTTTCAGCGACGGACACGTTTGATTGGGCATACGGAGACTGGCCTGGTGCAGAATGGCAAGAAGGCCTGTGATCCCTCCAAGCAGATGAGGTAAGTCTCCAAAGCGTATTTCCCCAAGGCCCTCTTAAGCCCAGCCAGTCTGAGCTTAAGCCTTCTGACTGCAGCGCAAGTGTGCGGGATAATGAGCTGCGGAGGAAAATGGGAGGTGAACAGGCTCCTGATGAGAATAGCTTAACTCGCCTTGCAAAGCGGCTCGAGTGCACAGTAGCCCTGTTTCTTGGGAAAATAACATCACGGATACATTGCAGAGATGTAGGTGGTAATGGCACAGAACGTAAGAACATGTTGGCACTGTCTATTTAAAATAGCAAGAGGGGGGGCGCCTGGGTGGCGCAGTCGGTTAAGCGTCCGACTTCAGCCAGGTCACGATCTCGCGGTCCGTGAGTTCGAGCCCCGCGTTGGGCTCTGGGCTGATGGCTCAGAGCCTGGAGCCTGTTTCCGATTCTGTGTCTCCCTCTCTCTCTGCCCCTCGCCCGTTCATGCTCTGTCTCTCTCTGTCCCAAAAATAAATAAACGTTGGAAAAAAAAATTAAAAAAATAAAATTAAAATAAAATAAAATAAAATAAAATAAAATAAAATAGCAAGAGCAGCAGAAAGGCATGAATGCAGTAATTCTAACCCCGTTAAACTAAAAACATTCCTTGGGCCCTTTATTTGGCTTCCCAAGGAGGGAGGTGAACCAGCCTCTTTGTGGTCAGTTTCGTTTGGGGATAGTCCTGTTCCACTCTTCACCTAATTGGCATAGGAGAAGAGTAGACATAACCCAGAGACACCCAGTAAAAATGTGGAGGTTTGGAATGAGTTTTATTTGTAAGAGGTCTTCCCTTGGGTAGACCCATTAGGAAACCTTTAACAGGACTTGCGCTCCTGAGAATGAAAACAGACGCCAGGCTTCCTGGGTTCAGTCCAGTTCTGCCACTTGCCTTGGACAAGGAAACTCATTCATCTGTGTTTGTTTCCTCATCTGTAAACTGGGGATAATAAAATTACCTACCCATAAGGATTTTTATAAAGGTTAAATGAGATAATCCATGCAAACAAGCACAATCCCCAATATATGGGAAGCCCTCAGTTGTTTATTATTATTACCTTACACAGCCAATCACAAAGCTATGCACTGCAGCCACTGCAGTACTGTTTATAATAAAAACTGGGAACAATCTAAAAATCCAAAATTGAGGTGCCTAGGTGGTGACTCAGTCGGTTAAACATCCGACTTCGGCTCAGGTAATGATCTAGTGGTTTGTGGGTTCCAGCCCCGCGTTGGTTTCTGTGCTGACAGCTCAGAGCCTGGAACCTGCTTCGGATTCTGTGTCTCCCTCTCTTTCTGCCCCTCCCCCACTCTCTCTCTCTCTCTCTCTCTCTCTCTCTCTCAAAAATGGATAATAAAATGTTTAAAAAATAAATAATAAAGTAAAAAATAAAAATCCAAAATTAAGTCAATTATTAAGCAAAATAGACTGCATATCCAGTCCAGAAAAAAAAGAGCCTTTGAAAATGCCGGCTATGACAAAGCATAAGAGACTCTTAAAAACTGAGAACAAACTGAGGGTTGATGGGGAGTGGGAGGGAGGGGAGGGTAGGTGATGGGTATTGAAGAGGGCACCTTTTGGGATGAGCACTGGGTGTTGTATGGAAACCAATTCGACAATAAATTTCATATATTAAAAAAAAAATGCCGGCTATGAAAGCTATAGAAGAATATTTTTTAAGTGTTTATGATAAAATAAGTGGAGAAAAGAGCGGCATACAAAATTACATATATGGCATGTTTACAATCATATAGAACAAAAACCAAGTCCTATAAATTGGGGGAAGGGAGATTTATAGGAAATACATGAAAATGTATCAGGATGAGTGAACTCTGGGTAATTAAAATTTTTTCCGTGCTCTGTTTTCCCAAGTGTTTTATGTATTTTCAGAGTAAAAATATATGAAATAATATTTAAAAGTTATGTAAAGTTGCTGCTTTTTGAGGGCAATTTACACTAAGGCTTAAGGAACTGAGTGCTATTTTTTTTTTTTTAATCAATACTTTCAGAAAAAGAGGACCTAAGGGAAGTAGGTAGTAAAATAATTTTCCAGGCTTATAAATCGGTGATAGTTGGTTCTCTGGAAGCTTCAGTAAATAAGGTTGGAGTTGTTCCCTTACTTCAGACACACTATCTAATATTTTCCATGACGATTTCTCATCAACTTTTCTGCGTTTGCTATGGACATTCTAGCTGACCCTTGGTCAGGGACGCCACTCAGGCCAAGGGACCTAGAAATAGTTATCTCCAGGGAGTCAGTGAGAGCCTGCTACAGTGTTCATGATGGACAAGAGGTACTTGGTCCAAACCAGGTCTGTCCTAAACACACTTCATCGTCGGTCTTTCTCCTCTAACCCGCCCCTCCCTCTCTCCTTTTGCTCACTGCACCCTTCTGGTAAGCCCAGTGCTAGGCCACAAGTGGAGCAGAGGTGGATGAGACTTGGCTCCTGCCTTGAGGGAGCCCAGCCCCAGGACAAGAAGGAGCAAACAAACTCAGCCCCAATGCAACACGACAGAGGCCACCATATTAGTGCTGTGCAGCCATAGAGGAAGGCATCTGATGGCGGCTGGGAATGAGGAAATGTTTGCCAGGGTAGGAGAAAGGCTGGGATAAAGGCATCCTGGGCGGAGGAACAGCAGCTACAAGGGCAGTGCAAAAGCACCAAGAGGGCATGTTGTTGAGGGGGAAGGTGGTGGGGCTGGTGTCTTGTAGGCTTTAGTCTGAGAGAGAGGATCAGGAAGGAGTCAGCATGTGAAGACACCATGCTTAGGGGTGGACCCAAGTCTTACAGGCTAAGGGTCAGTGGAAGTTTTAAAGCAGGAGAGAGCCGTGCTTAGATTCTATTTTGGGAAGATAATGCCACCTGCAGTGTAAGAGGCTGTGCTTGTTCAAGGGATGGAGTCAGTGGCAAGGGTACATGGGTAGTAGTGGTACGTTGAGGTGGTCTCAGCAGTCTGAGGGCAGCTCACTAGGGCTTGGTAGCTCCTTGCAGCAGGAAGGGGTGGGGGGAGTGGTAAGGAAGCAGATCAGAGAGTGGTGACCGAGGCAGAGGTGACAGCTCTGGCTGGCTGGCTGGATCTGAGGGTGACACGAATCAAGGATGGGCGCGTGGCTCTAGCCATGCCATGAACTAAGATAGGGAACGTCAGAGAAATGGGCTTGGCGGTGGGTGGATAAGGAAAGATAACGAACTCAGTTTGGGACAGGCAGAGTGAAACGTGCTGAGGGGCCATCTGGGCAGTTGATGAGAGAGGTCTGTCTGGTCTTCAGAAAATAATTTTAGGCTGAGGATACTGATCAGGAAGGTAGAGAGCACAGGAGTAGGTGGATGCTCTAGAAACAGATGAGGTTACCCTGGTGGGACTAGGGGACAGAATTATAGGGAATAATAATGTTTCAAGATACTTGGTCTTCAAGATTAGGTTTGATGGAGGGTTGCCTGAGGGTCTACTGAGGCTCTAAACTGCATGAATAGTCTTTTCTTTCCCATGGCCATTGCAGATGGATTTTCAGTTCAAGTTTCTTGACTGGTTTGTTTTTGCTGGCTTTGAAAATGCAGTGGTGTATGGTGAGTAGGAGGCTTTGGAACCAGAGGGACCTGTGTGCCTGTCCCAGCTCCCTGACTCTGGAGAAAGGAGTCGAACCTCTCTGACGCTGCACTGTGGAAAAGAGAGTGAGCTCGGACATTCACACACTTGTTTGCGACATGATGTAGGTTTGGTTGCTTATACAAAAGTGTGTGACCTCAGCCTTGCAATGTATTCCATAAGCTAAACCAAAAGACTTCTCTTCGTAAAGATACATCATTTATAAAATGTATAATCTTTAGCATATTTTAAAGTGAAACGTGTGCTAATTTTAATGTTTGAGCTGGCTCTGGCATTTCAATGATTAAAAAGTGGGCTAGAAAGTTCTAGAGGACAGGGCACATTTGTTTCCCTTTTCATCCTGACTTTTCAAAAGAAAAAGAAAAAAGGCGAGTATACAGATTACAACACTAGATGAGCTCAAGCTCTCAAAAATGCATTATCATCTCCACAGTCATCTAATTCAGAGACAGTGGAACAAATCCAAGTAACAAGTTTATTCTAGTCTACAGCACAATTTTTTACATACATTTTAGTGGTTTTGACAGTGTTACTTTTGAGCAGACTTTAAATTCACAAAAGTTAATATATTAAAAACAGAATACACACAAAACCACAGGCATCAGGATGGTCAGAATCATGCAGGTAGGGGTGGTCTGGTTGGTGTTATCACTGGGCGCCTTGCCTGTTTAAGAATTCACCAGCAAATACCAGTTCTTCCCAAATGAGAGAGTTCTACATATGCACACCCAAAATAAACCCTCTTTTGAAGCCGCATCAGTACAAAACTTCAATGAGTAAGCCTAAATGTTTCATCAAACCAACTATTCCACTGATCAAACCCAGTACTTGCAAACAGTCAATACCAGCACCAATCTAAAGGCAAGGTTATTTCATTTATTAAAACACCAACAGGAGATTAATAAACAAAGCAACTAAGGTTAATCTTAATATAAGACACTGAGGGCAAAAACCAAAAATGATATATTAAATACCACTCCACTGAGCTAGGACATAACCCATGAACTACAGATGCATGGGTTTCTATCTGTCAAACAATGCTTTTAGATATTTTGCTACAGAAAAGAAAAAAGTAAATCAGGAGATGCAGGGGAAAGATAGGAATGTGAATTTGTGCATCTAGTTCCACAATTGAAAATGAGTACCAAACTGATAATAGTAAGCTAAGTGACAGTGACTTAACTGACGGGCACCAAGCAGGCAGTACCACTATTCACTGTAATTCATAACACGCTTCAGGAGTCTCGCGTGGATGGCCCCTCCAATAATACCATCATAACACAGACATGAATGCTCATCCACTGTTGAAAGGGACCCTGAAGAACACATAGCAAAGGCATAGAGAAAAAGTTGAGTCCTTTGAAAAAGTTAATGATATCAAAATACTTTTCTATCACTGGTAAACCAAACGAGGTCAAGTATATGGCCCAAAGCAGCATGGAATTCAGAGTCAGAGGTTGGCAGAAAAGTTTGGAAAACCGCAGTTTTTAAAAATTGGCAATTTCTCTATGCTTAATAAAACTATCAGAAGAGGTATAATGTTTGTTCATTTGTGGAATGTTGACAGCTTGCTGCAAAAATTCACATGAATGAGGAACCGCAGAGATGCGCTTCGATGAAATATTCTTTAAAAATTTACAAAAAACGAAACTTTCTATTTAAAAAATAACCATGTTATGCCAAGATGAAACATGGTAAAAGTAGTGTAAGTTCTGTCCATGATTCTTCACACAGCTAATGGGAAAGTGATAGAAACAATTTTCTCCTAAAAAGGAAGCTTTGTTATTGCACTGACTTTTACAACCTGACCTAGTAATTTAGAAAAATCATGTAGTAAAATCTGTAAAATTAAAATACAAAATTCTGTTTTGTAAACATCAGTTGGCCAAGTCTATCCAGAGTCCTTCATGATAGTGGAATGGAATGAATAATTAATTCACTACCTTATTTATCTGCTGTGAAGAGGGAAATTCCAGAACACAGCTTTTATACTTTCACAGTAATTATATTCAAAAGATATAAAGGAAGTCAGTGCAGTTGTCTTTGTTTGTCTTTTTCCCTCTGTGCAACCTTCGGCTCTTACCCCACTCCCAAGTGCCATAATTGAAATAATACTGGTTTCGAGACCTAGTACAGATTGGTCATAAATGTCGCATAAAGTCTGTAGGACTGCGATACAGGTATTTCCAAATGGCATAGTAATGTACCGCAGCTGCCGTGGCCACAAACAGGTGCCAGATGGCATGGGCAAATGGAATGATGCCATCACTCTTGAAGAACACAACTCCCAGGCAATAAATTAAGCCCCCACAGGCAAGTTCGTGAAGTCCATCAGTGTTATTCTGTCAACAGAGGAAAAAGAGAAAGAGGTTTTGATGTTACTCGATGTGACAAACTAAAGAGATAATTGCAATTCCCCCTGAGCCTGCTGATTTTCTAGACAATGAAGTAGCTGCACAGGCTGAATCCCGGTCCGTAATCATGAACTTAACTTAAAAGCCTCTCATCCATCAACCTGGATTTACCCTGGGGGTTGACCATCTTGGACCGGAGCAAGCAGTCGGGTTACGGAACCCACACTCTACTCATCTACAGCATGTTGAAGCAGATTACAATCACATCCAGACATGGGAATTCATTTTAATAAAGTATAATCCTTGGCTTTCATCTTCTCCTTTAAGAGCTTTCTTCCCTACTAAGGCACGGCCACACCACTCCATTTAGAATTTACATCTGGGCCTGGGGTTTCACTTCCCTTATCCTCCTCAAACGCTGGACCACACCGATTCCTTTTCTGAGACTCCCCCGTGCTTGTGCGAGCTTACAGCTTCCTTATGGCTGACACAGGAAATCAGAGCTACATGTGACCTCGGAGATCAGAGAGCGTGTAAGGATAACATACTTCCTAACCTTCTACATGTTGCCAGGACTTTTTGTCTGTGAGCCTGGGCGTTTCTTAGCTTAGCAGGGAGTTTTGTGCTTTAACATAAAAAAGAGAATTTTTAGGTTGCTCTTGGTTTTCCAAGACCTCAGCCCATCTTCAAAATTAAACTGGTCTGTGTGAATGAGGGAAAGAGAACAGAAGCAGGTTTGGTGGAGGTGGAGGGGGGGGGTGGATTGATGAAACAAGTCAGTCCCCTGGATTCCTGAGGACTAGGAATAGAAAAGTCTCAGGTTCTGCAAGGTGGTGGAAACCTAAGCCAGATTGTGGCGAGGCCCTGGAAAGGGACAGGTGTGTGGGTGTCCCAGAGGCCTGGGCACTGATGACTGCAACCTTGTGAGCCCTGGAGCCTTGGACTGCAGCCAAGTCCAGCAGGGAGCGTGGGAAAACTCTAATGCAGCCACCAATGTGAAGGGGTCCCATGTGCCTAGACAGTGGCAGCAATGGACAACCATGAGCCAAGAACCAGGCATGAGGACCCAGGGCCACAGACGAGGATCAGTCCTTTCTTCAAAGTTCACATAGGCCCCCTGGTTTTTGTAGGATCAAAAGATGGGAAGGAGCCTACCCAAATCGACTGATTCCAGATTTTTCATTAACCTTGGTAAGATGGAAAGTCAGCCAGATTGATTTTTATCAGAACAAACAAAAAAAAACAAAACAAAAAAATTCCAATACCACACATTTATCATTTCCTAAAGGTTACAAAGCAATTAATATCCGTTCATTACACAAAATCCTCTAGTATGTGCATTAGGGGCATTTTTTTTCTAGAAAGTATTCATCACATTTTTAAGGAGGCATATAATTCCTAAACAGTAAAAGCCACTCATCTAACATTACACAACCTCCTCATTTTAGAGATGAAGAGAGTAAAACCAGAGGAATGAAGTAGCCTGAACAAAATCATAGAGCTGGTCACTGCCCAAAAGATACCACTCTTCTTTTCTTTCTGCTAAAACAATAAGCATGAGACCAAGCCAAGTATACAGGTTGGTTCCGACATAACATTCTGTTAAAGATAGCTCCCTAAGACACCACATTTATCAACTTTCAAAGAACTAGACCATAGGTAATCCTAAAACACATTTTCATCATGACCCATGTCATTACTTTGTTACAGCAGGCACTGTTTGAAGCATTTCCGTGTATTTACTCAGTTAATCTTCACAACCCTAAATTAGGTACTATTATCCCAACTTTACAGATGAGAAAACGAAAACACAGAGAGGTTTCATAATTTGCTCAAGGCCACATAGTTTTTAAGTGTCAGAATGGGGTTTGAATCAAGGCAGTCTGGTTCCTGAGCTTATATTCTTTTGGGGGGTGGGGTGGGTGGGTGGGAGGGATGGGTCAGTTTTTGATTGATGATTAATTTACAGGGTGTAATGCATAAATACTACATGAACACCATGGGTTTTGATAAATGCATACACCTATCTAACCCATACTCCTATCAAGATAGATAACTACCCCAACACCCCCTCCCAATCCTGGACAATCTCTTTCACCAAGGTAACCATTATTCTTACTGCATTAACACAGACCAAATCTGTTTTAGAACTTCACATAAATGGAATTATAATGTATGTATATTTTTATGTCTGTTTTTTTGTATTTGTGAGATTCCTGCATGTGCTTATGTATATCAATCATTCCTTCCTTTTTATCACTTAGCATTCCCTTAATTTATTTATTATAATTTGTTTATCAATTCTTCCCATCTGGGGCTTATGGAGGTCTTTCTGTATATGTTTTCATTTCTGATGGGTAGTACCTGTTGAGTCATAAGTTTATGCTTAATTTTATAATAAACTGCTAAACAATTTTCCAAATAGTTATACCATTTTATACTCCCCGGAACAATGAATTAGGGCTCCAGTTATTTCACATCTTTGCTAGAATTTGGTGTTGTCAGTCTTTTTGATTTTAACAGTTCTACGGGATACATTCTGGTAGCACACTGAAGTTTTAATTTTCATTTCCAGGATGACTAATGGTGTTGGGCACTTTTTCAAGGGCCTACTGGATACTTGAGTACATTTCTTTGTGAAGTGCCTGTTCAAGTGTTTTACTCATTTTTATAGGACTATTACTCATTTGTTGGAGTGTTTTATATATTTCATATACATGTCTTTTACCAGATACATATAGAGAAAGCAACCGCTGTATTTTCCCCCAGCCTGTAGCATGTCTGTGCATTTTCAAGTTCATGGATCTCTTCTTTTGCAGTATCTAATCTGTTGTTAAACTCTCCAATGAATTTTTTTCTTAACATATCATTTTCAAATCTAGAATTTCCACTTGGTTCCTTTTTTATAGTTCCATTATCTTTTCTGAGATTCTTCATTTGTTTACTCATTATGTTTGGAAGTCCTTGTATGTAAATTTCAACATCTCTGTCCTCTTTGGATCTGTTTCTATTGACTTGTTTTTCCTTAGGTGTGTGGTGTCACCTTTTCTTGTTTCTTGTTTATCTAGTAATATTTGTTTGAATAAATGGACGCAAGCTGTTGGGAGTACAGATTCTGTGGTCTTCCTTTTAGGAATGTTGAGTTTTTTTCTGTAGGCAGTTTATGTACAGAGGATCAGGTATATTTGTTGTGGCAATTCCAGGGCAGTCCTCACTCTAGACCTAGAGCAGTTCTCCTAAGACATGAAGGTCACCTTTCTAGGTTCGGTTGAACACCTGAGTTTTCAGCATGGCCACTCTGGCTGGTTGGACCCTGATATCTTCCAGCACCAGGCACCTCTGGAATCTCAATAGCTACTCTTGACCTGGGCATGCAGAGTCTTGCCCTGTGCAAATCCAGCTTAGTATCTGGGCAAGGATTCAGGGAAACCCCTTTGTAGATTTCTGGAGATGCCTCTCTGTGAAGCTCCCTCCTTTCCAGGATCCTACCCCAAAACTGCAGCAGGCTCAGTAGCTGAAATGCTGATTTCTGTTTCTTCCACGCTGACTGCTGCTTTCTGGCTCCCCTTTCTTTTGTCGCAGTTTGGAAAGTGTCCCCAGGGAGAAAACTGGGGCGAATTTGAAGCTCATGTTTTGGTTTCTGTTCCCTCAAGGAATACAGTCCTGTGTCTGCAGTCCAACACCAAGAAACAGTTGTTTCATCTACTTTTTCCAGTTTTATATCATTCTTTATGGCATAAGAATAAGTCATTTGGTTCTGACCAGAACCAAAGCTTAGAGTGTCCAGTCTTACTGTTGTTAGTTCATATGGCTTATGAGTTTCTTTTTGATCTGGTCTCTGTCTAGCTCTCCAGCTTTATCACAAGACTTGTGCTACCTGCATACTTACCTACCTCATGCCCAGAGGCACACTCAAACAGGTGCACACCCTCCTGTTCCGAACAATGAACTATTTTCAATTCTTCAAAGGTGTTAGTGCTTTCTCCTCTCAGGGGTCCCTTCATGCTGTATTCTTTCCTATTCCACTTGTATCATCCTTACTATCTCTAGGCCCTTTTTTGTCTTTATGAATCAGCTTGAACACCATTTCCTCTGGTGCTTGGCTCATGTGCTCCCACAGCAGCCTACACTTTCCCCAAAGACATAAAAACTTCAAGATAGTTTCTTATTGAACATGAATTGTAGTTTCCTGCTTGGTGCTAAGGTCTATGGGGGGAAATGCGAGGATTATCCTGTTTGACTATCATAAACATTAGTCACTGACTACTGTACAACTTGTGAAAATGCCAAGATTTAGGCTAGTAAAAATACTGGAGAAACCTGCTCTTATGGTAGCCAGAGGGAATTTATTTGATGTCCTACTCTAGTGATTAGTAACCTACACATACAGACCTTGCTTAAACTGTTTTGGGTGTCCTGATTTGCCCTCCAACGAGATGGCCTGCAAGGCAGATTTTCTCATTTCCATTATTCATCTCCTTCCCCTCACTACTCCCTGTTATACCTTTACCAACTAAACTATATGGATTTCTAATGCTAGGTAATTATTAAAGCTACCATAAAGCTCTTTAATCCTAAAGAAACACAACTTGTGACATTCTCATAAGACATATTACTGAAAACAGCAAGCAAACCTGTAACTCCTAAACCTTTAACAGGTATTTTGGTGACCAGGGCAGGACCTATGTACATTCTTATAACATGCCCATGAGCTCAGGAGTGAAACGGTAGATACAAGTCTTCTGACCTCTATAGACTGAGAAAAGAATTCAAACTGGACACAGTGTGAGTTCCTTAATTAACAACATAGTGGCTAATGCCAAACAGTGTAGAGCGTAGGATAGTGGAGCTGATGGTACTAAGCTAATGGCACAAAGTAACCAGTTGGATGGGATCACAAGGCCATAATGCTGTTTTTCTTTCAAATTGACAGAGGGGTGCCTCATAGTTCATGAGTTTGAGCCCTGCATCGGGCCCTGCACTGACAATGTAGACCATGCTTGGAATTCTTTCTCTCTTCCCTTCCCAGACTCGAGCTGTCTCTCTCTCTCAAAATAAATAAATAAACTTAAAAAAAAAAAAATTAACAGATAGGGCCTCCTGGGCAGCTTAGTTGGGTAAGCATCCAACTTCGGCTCAGGTCATGACCTCATGGTTCATGGGTTTGAGTCCTGCGTCAGGCTCTGTGCTGACAGCTCAGAGCCTGGAGCCCGCTTCGGATTCTGTGTCTCCCTCTCTCTCTGCCCTCCCCTGCTCGTACTCTCTCTCTCTCTCTCTCAAAAATAAATATTAAAAAAAAAATAAAAGAAAATTTCAAGCAAAGTTAAAATAAAAAAGCACTTTTATAAGAAAGAGAAATAATTTGACTTAAAACCAAGTGAAAGAAAAGTAAAAGTGAAGACTTTTGGGAAATATTAAATAAAATGTTCACACAACTGAGCTCTTCTGGTCCCTCTAATTCTTAGGATTTAAAAAGTCAGTAATTTATAGTTTTTTCATTTTAAGACATAAAAAAATTTACCCTCTTCTGTGGATTTAGGGTTAAGACACCATTTCGGGCAGAAATACCCCTCTACCCATAACCTCATGGGTTATGGTTATGGTTATCCAAAAGATAACATAACCCATGAGGTTATCCAAAGAAACACATACAGAAGATTGCCATATGGAAAGAAACACACTTCAGTGTAGAACTTCTCTAAACTCCAAACAGTAGCTAAATCACATTGTTGGCGCTTTGCTATTTACATACTTTTTCTTTGGAGTCTCTAGTTAATGGACACGTCATAATTTCAGAAAGAAAAACTACATATCGTATCTATACACACATGAAGAATCCCAGCAATTAAAAAGGAAATTAGGTGAAATAACTAAAATTATGAAGCCATTTCTTACCATTGATGTCACCACCAAAGCTGGAGAAAACCCCATTGTGAGATAGAAAAAGAGCTCAACCACCTTATACCTGCAGGATAGAAAGGCAGTTCATTTTATGTATTCCTATAATACCTAGTCCAGTCCCATACCAGCTTTCCCTTTTTTCTTTTTAAAGAGAAATGCAAAGTCTTCAACTATCCCAATGAGCCATATTTTCCCAGTAGACCATTTAGGGCTCTAATTAAAACACTATAGTTGAGTGAGTGAACTAGCATTCCTCTCAGGACTGAAATAGCATCAAACTCCATTAGCAACTTGGAAAATGTTTTCTGCCAAAAGGAGTTACTGTTGCATCCGATCCACCATGCATTTTCCCACTTCCAATCTCCCAGTGTTTTCCCTCATTACTGCCCCAATCCACAGCTACAAGAAGCTGAAATTATCATGATGGACAGGACAGGGATGCCATATGGGGCCAGGCTTATCAGTGGCGGAGGGGCAGGAGCCCTAAGGAATGAAGAGCATGTAGTTTTCTGTCTCTTTATTTTTCATCTGCACAAACTCCCAACTTGTAAGGCTCATCCCATGAGGCTACAGAATGTCCGAAAACACTAAGAAATATACTCCACTGAAATTTAACTTGCATTTCAGCCTAATCAAAGGAGGCTCTACGTTCCCTGGAGGCAGGGGCCAAATTTCATTTATGTTTGGATGTGCAAAGCCTACCACAGTGCCTGGCACTTTAGGCACTCCCTAATATCTGCCCAACCGAATGGCCATAGGTGACTCACATCTCATTCTCCATGTTTTATACTCAAGAGTCCACCATGAAGCAACCTTATCAGGGACCTGGGGAAGAATGGGTTTGTGGGTTTGCTTTACATTAGGAAGCCTGGAATAGGAGAAAAGATAGTTGTTTTACTCTACTTTCTATTTTATCCAAGGATGTAAGCTAGGGGTGCAGGCCCAAGAAGCAAACTGTTCTCTTGGATTTATATACACTACATAACACCACTCAGAACTGCTAATTGTAGTAAAAAATGCATTTAAGTGAATTTCAAAGTCAGAAGTTAGTGAAAACTACCATTTTCTTCTGAAAAGAGAAAATAACTTAATACTTTGTGATAAACACAACATGTTCAATTCTGAGAGCCATTCTGCCAACAACAGGTAAGCTAATAAACTGTATTCAAAGACAATGATTTCATGCTTGTGGGTTTCTCAAATTCAGGCATCTGAAGTAATGAAAAGAGCCATGGAACAAGAACTAGGACACTTGGGTCCTAATTCTACATGAATCGCTAATTTGATGCACATCCTAAATGTTCTCATTTTTTTTTTTTTCTTAACCATGAGGCAGGAATAGATGACTTTGCAGGTCTCCTCTAGAGCCATGATGCTAAATCTCAATAGGCTTTCCTTTTTATATTGCTTCACATTTCTGACTATGGGCAATGAATAATGGGTTAAAAAATGTGCCCTGTGATTAGGATGCCTCTCCAAATATCCCCTTTCTCAGGGAAGCTTAGTTTGGAACATCTTCTGGGTTCCTGTCTAGATAAGTGTTGTTCTTATCTGTTATCTTCAATCTTCACAGAAAGCTTGAGAAGCAATTACTTTTCTCATGGGCTAAGCGTAGATTACAGAGAATAAGGCTAAGTTCGCTGATAAGGCCAGTCACCTGAGGATTGTCCCTCAACTGCTTCCTGTCACACGTGTGCCATTCAGTTCTTTCCACAGCAATCTGTCCACCAACAACGAATACCAAATGGTTTCCAAGATTTGTTAAAAGCAATATATATTCTATTTATGTATTTCTACTATTTTGAAGTGCAAATATAAAGCAAATTATGTTGTAATGTCGATAAAATTTAGGCAGTTAATTTTTAAACTATCAAATGTAAATTACGTTCTCTTACTTTTCATGGTAGAGAAATACATAAATGGTTCCTCCAGCTGCCATGAGCCAGATAAACCAACGCATATGAGATGCCAGGGGTCCAAGTTCACGGAGATTTAACCTAAAAAATGTAAACATGACAACAAAGAACAGAAGTGATAAATGAAGGGAATTCACAGGACCCGTGTTTTCCTCTAGGCCTGAACACTGGGGGAGCAAGCGCTAGCATAAAACCAGGAGGAAAAGGCATTCAACATGCCACGGAAGTAGTTAGGCAGTTTGGGCAAAATTAATAAAGATAAAATTGTCAGTTGACCTTTAAGACTTCGAATTGTTCCATGTGGTTTAAAAATAGAACCAGCTAAAAGGAGGTATGAAGTGAGTCCCATCACACCTGTGATGCCTGACTTGCCTTATAAGGCAGACTGCTGTCAGATTAGCTTAATTCTGATAATGTATCTGCAAGCGGACCGCTTACAGAGCTTAATGAGAACCCTGAACAAAATCCTGAGCCAGGATCACATACCCACAGCGGATACCTAATACACAGACCAAGTATCTGCATTACCAATCTCTCGGCCAAGAGAGAACATGAATTAGCCCAACGTATGTTATGAAAGACATTTTGTCAGAATTTTAACTGTGGACTCTTGTAAAGCTTGAGTTTTAAGATGCTGCAAATTCATTTGTACTCATTTCATATTAAGAATGGACATGAGAAGAAAACCAAACGTTATTCTGATTGGCTACGACTACAAAACGATTATTTCCAGATGGAAAAGGCACCACCTGCCTATTGAAAACTACATGAAAACAAGTTCCTTACTGTAATATTTGATTCCTCAGCCAACTTTAAAAAATTTTATTTACTTAAATTGGGGAGCACTTCCCCAAAGCCTGTAACTGTTCTCGCTCCAATATAATACAGACCTATAGTTTAGTGACAAGTATTAGAGAGGGAACACACTTTTTACTCCAACAGACAATTAGGTTTCTTTTTAATGATGGATGCTGCGTAAGTCAGAATGTAGAGGCCTGTTGTTTCTAGTGACTCTAGCAGTTCATGGCACAACATGAATTTCTGAGTGTTTAAAACTGGATCATGTCTTCATAGAGGGAATCGAATGTTCCTTTAATTTAGGTTTCAAGGCAACAACAGATTCTACCTGATCTGTACCAAAAGAGCAGAAAGATTAAAAAAAAAAAAAATGAAGAGAATACTAGGTATTTTTTTTTTTTTTAATATATCATTTAAAAAAAAATAATCTGTATGCCCAGTGCGGGGCTTAAACTCACAGCCCTGAGGTCAAAAGTCACACGCTCCACCCACTGCGCCAGAATACTAGATATTTTAAGCAGCTAATTTGTTTAGTTCTTCTACTCATATAAGCTAAAGAAGTGAGACATGTACTCCATATATAGTAGCTACCGTGCTGTGAAGTGAATTGAAAACGGTAAATTTCAAAAGCGAGCTTGTTTTCCTCACACGTATTTACAGCATTTCCACTGAAACAATTAGATGTCCAAGTATTATGAACAGCAGCAAAAGCAGAAAAAGAATGTGGAATGCAAGGGTGACATATTTCAAAAGACAGAATGCTACCTACGAACAAGTTCTTAGCGCTTCCTCTTGAATAACCCAGTGCCAGGTATGTATTCTGAACAGCAGTAACATTCTCCCCTTAAAATCTGCAATCTGACCCAAGTAAATAAAAAATTTAAAAAAGCATGTATGCATGTGTACTGGCAGGAGGTGGGGGTGGGAGGGGGGGCATATGCATGGGGGCTGGGGCAGGGACCCGAGGAAGGGAGGGAAGGGGGACAGAAATTCTATCCCCAAAATGCTACCTTCAAAAATAGAAAGAAGGTATCTTACCATGGAGCGTAAGAAGCAGCAATGAAGAAATAAATAACCATTCTATCACACATGTGAAAACAATGTTCCACTGTCCTAGTGGGGGAAAAACAAGTTAGCAAGTTTTCAGAAAAGTTTCAGACTGGCAGCATGGGTTATCACTCCAAGGTGTTGTAATTTCCATTCCTGTTCTAGCTCCTTGGGGCAGTTATAACTTGGCTTTCAAAGGTATTTTTAATATTATGAAGCCACAAGTAAAAGCTTTACATTACTCTTAAGCTTGCACATGCGATACTCACCATATAGGAGATACAGTAATCAGGAACTCCAAAGTGGTTAAAAAACAAACAAACAAAACCTGTCTTTTCTGAGGTTTTCCATTTCTTTTAGAGCCTATGTAACTGAGAAAGAAAACTCCTCGAGGGCAGACCACCCCTCAACCCCTGTCATAGTGCAGGATGTGAAGTGGTTTTTCATGCCTTTTTAGAATACCTTCAAAGAATGTTTCACTTCAAATAGCTTAATGTAGATGATAAGTTGTAATAAAGGAAATTCAGAAACTAACTTAGGAACAACAATGACAAAAACAAAAACAAATAAACAAAAAATTAAGAGGCATATTTGCTGCAAGCAGGTAGCCACCTGGATTTCTAAATGAGTTCCTCCTTCCAAAACTGAAAATTCAGGAAGTGTACAAAGATCTGGCTCACTGAGGTCTAGTCCCCAAATGGATTAGACAGAACCTGTCCTTTACTGAAGTGATTTAAAAGTGTGAATGCACTGCATCGTCTTGAATCCATTTTCAGTGTCCAAATGGTGAGAGCTGTGATTTGGTGGAGTGCTACTGTTACATTTTGCCTCACCACACACACAATGTCGACCAAACCAAGTTGAGGACGTTTTAGTCACGGTTAGCGTTAGTCATGTTAGTGAAGGCAAAATAATTTAGGTCACAGGTCTCAAAGGCTTACACTGCATTAATGCTTCTCAAACTTGACTGCGTATCACCATCACCTGGGAGCTTATAAAATAGTCACAAACTCCAGTCCAGAAGATTGTAATGTATAAAAGGGCTAGAACATGGGGTAGGGGATGGAGGGAAGAGAAGAATCTTATTATTATTTATTTTTTTTTTTTTAACTCTTTGGAGGATTGTGATTCCTAGCCAGGTCTGAGGCCTTTCTGATTCTGCTCTCTAGATTATTAGGCTCTTGGTACAGAAGGTAAAGTCAGACCTGTAATGTTATTCAAGATCCATGACCGGCTTCTCTGACCCTTACTCTCCACACAGGGAAAATAGACATAACAACATTTCTATCATAGAGTGTGTGTGAGCATTAAATGAGATCACGTGGACCATGTGTTCATTAGCATAGTATCTAGCACATAGTAGGTACTCAATAAATGCTCATTCCCTTGCCTTTATAAATTAAGGCTATATTTGGATCTATAAAAAAATTAAGACAGAGCAAAAATCCACACGTGGCTCATGATTCTAGCAGTGCTATTTCAAGGTTCAAGAGAGCCTGGTTTCTGTTACACCTTCTTCTCCGGCCCCTGGGAGAGAGCCCTGAATACTCAAGTATGCATCTACAACTCTTTATTGATTCAGAAGTCTAGACATCAAAGCCAAGTCAGCCGAGACAACCACAGGCACTGGGTTGTGCCAGGACAATAACGAAGTGCTCTGGCCTCTGATCTCTGTGACAGTGTGTGCTGGAGAGACGGGTACTTTTGGGGCTCTCTTGTGAGTATGCCTCAGCAAGCCCTCATGATCTGATGCTGTGGTTTCATTTTTGGCCCAAGGACCTGCCACCTTCTAGGCAAAGGTGGCCGGCTGGTAACTGTAAGCAGCACTGAGAAGGGTGTGGTGAAAAACTCCTCAGGACTGGGAGTCAGAGGTCCTGGGATGATCAGACACTGCTGGGGGTCACTGACCTGGGCAAGGTAGACCACTTCTAAGCCTCAGTGTCCCTTGGTGAAAATTAAGGGGTCTGGATTAATGACCCCTAAGAATCCTTCCTGCCATGAAACTATGACTCCACACATAAGGAGACCGGTAATCATCTCACGAACCTCAAACCCTGTTCTTAAATACTGGATTGTCTGAATGTTTGAGATTTTTTTCTTTGGACATTCTGTAAAACCGAAAGCTATATTCTATTATTTTAAAGCACTCTAAGTCTGCTCGGAATACTCCTTTTCTGAGAAGAAGTGTTGTGCTTTGGGGTTGTACAGAATCTATTCCATAAGCAACTGAATGGTGTGCTGCATCTCTTGTATTCCCCCAAATTAATCCTTCACCCAGAGGAGGAATGCTTTTACGTCCTCGTTGGGAGGCTAACGGGCTTGGTATGGTTTGGAAAGTACCTGACAGCTAATCGTAGCAAAATCTGTGAACTCTGTTTGAACAGATACACAGCACCCAATTCTGGAAGCTGAACTTTGCAAGACAATAAACCCAAACTGTAGCAAATCTCCTTACATTACAAAGTCCTGGTCATTTGCAATTTTCAGATGATTCTGGCATGCACTGTCTCATTCACCTATCACAGAACCCTGCAAGTCGGGCATTGTTAGTCTCATTTTAGTAATGAAGACACAGAGGTTCCGTGGGGTCAGGGGACTTCCGAAAGGGTAAGTGGCAGGGCTGGGCTGACTCCAAGTTCACTGTACTCTGTCACTACCCCACAGCTGCTGCGCTCTAAGGGCATCCTTGGCGCACCCGACAACATTAAGAGGTCTCAGGATTCCACATCGTAAGTCCTGGGGAAACAGTGCGGTTTTGTCGGCGGCTTCTGAGAAAGGCCAGCTTTCTTAGATACATATGGGGGTCCTCAGAGTCTGTCCAATCCATAGGTAATTTCCTGAATACAAGGCAAGAAGACATCTAGCTCCTCTACTGCTTCAACCCGACGAAACATGCCAGTACGGGAGGCTAACCTGAGTCAACTATTCTGATCTGTTGAAATAGCGTGCTATCCACAGTACCTTAAGTGGCTCTTTTTCCATGATACAATGTGAAATACTGTGGAAACAATGAAGAGGGCACAGAGGCCCATTCCATAAATCCATGCAGTTATCTTTTCCCAGCAGTCGTCAGACAGCCGATGGAGGAGGGCACTGCCCACAATGGCCGGAACAATGAGGAACTGAGGGAAAGGCAAAGAAAAGTAAATACCCTGGGTTTTCCTAAATTGAGACCTTTGTTAAAAATACACAGGTTTAGCAGGGACAATTTTAGAAAGATAATTTTAGACATTTGCCTCTCCTGGATAATCCTCACCAGAGCCACACTGAGTTGTCAGCTATGGCTGCTCAGGGCCCAGGAACCGTGCCCACCAGCAGGTACTGAAGTCAGCAGTAAACGATGTGACATTACTCAGTTGTTGCAAAGCAGATGTTCTTTATCCTGATTTCATCACGGAAGAACAGATTTCATCCTATTGTCTAATGTGATTTTGAGTAGGTACTTCAAATATTCAAATGCCAAGCATATACCCAGATTTCCCAGGGAGGTCTTGCTTTTAAATGTTCTTTCCTATTTCCCCCATGAACTACTGACATCTCAAAGGGTTAAGCCAATGAATCGAGTCAGTAAGTATCCTAATGCGCACACCACACACACCACACACACACACACACACACACACACACACACACACACACACAAATGAACTGTGCAAGTCATATGTCCCGATTTTTAGTTTGGATCATTCCACCAATTTGGGAACTACTGCAAAGTGAAAGCATTTTTGGGTTATTTCATTTTTAATAGCACCTTTCAAGTAAGCAAGGGTAATCCACTCTCCTGTCACCCACTCGAGTAATTTTAAGAAACCAGAACCTTACAGGGATTTTTGTTTCCTGTACCATAGTTTACACTCCACATGGACACCGATTTCAATGTCTGTCGTAGGAGTATGAGTATGACTAGTGAATTTTTTTCTTTTAAAGACTCCATCTTTTTAGAGACGTTGTAGGTTCTCAGTAAAATTGAAGAGGAGCAAACATTTTATATTAACACACATCCTCAGGAAAAAATAAACTACTTTATTAGATATTAGAGTACACGTACCTGGCAAAGAATACAAAATTTAGCAATCTTCTCTCCACACCCCCATCACCTACTTTTGCCCTCTTGCAACAAAAATATCCTATCCCCTAGATAAGATCAGCACTAAATATTCAAATGCTGAAGTTTTCACTGGCCCAGACAGTATGAGAAAAATCAAAGACAATAAGGTAAGTTCTTCATAAGACAGAACTTCAGAGGCGCCTGGGTGGCTCAGTCGGTTGAGCGTCGGACTTCAGCTCAGGTCACGATCTCACGGTTCGTGAGTTCGAGCCCCGCGTCAGGCTCTGGGCTGATGGCTCAGAGCCTGGAGCCTGCTTCCAATTCTGTGTCTCCCTCTCTCTCTGCCCCTCCCCCATTCATGCTCTGTCTCTCTCTGTCTCAAAAATAAATAAACATTAAAAAAAAATTAAAAAAAAATAAGACAGAACTTCATTTATTCTGAGATTATGTCCTTTCTACTTTTTCACGTTAAAATAAATACCCTCTCTTTAAATGAAATGATGATGATGGAAGAAATGTTACTGCTCTCTGAAATTCAAAAATTAGGGATACAGTTTAGTAAAGTTTAATAAGGTGACATTTCTCTTCTAAAAAATTAACATGGAGGTTTTGTCAGTTTTTCCCTAACTTTGTTTTTTACAAGTATTCCTTAACTTATGACATACCCAGAAGACACGAGGGACCAATCTGGTCTGTCTCTAGCAAATAATATTCCTAGAGGTGAACTGTGCATCCCTATAGCCAAATTATGATATTTAAGTAGTTTAAGTGCTCGATATAATGCTAAGTAAAAAACACTTCGTTGATTACTTTTATTGATCAGTGGTATGGAAATTATCAAGGCACTATACTTGTAACTTTCATCAGTGTTTTGTAATTGGTAAATAGAAAAAAATAATGGATATATATTGGAGCAATGAGTGAAGGAACAGGCCACATAAATTATTATTCAGTCTTTTATATTCCTTATATCCTAATCTTGCCCTAGATTTACATACACACATACAAGCACACAACTTTTTCTTATGGGTCTATGGGCAATTATCTTCAGAAGTAATAATTTACTTTTAGCTGTTAAAGTCATCGAACATCTGGTCAAGAATAAAAGCTGGATATCCTGCAGGTTTGGGAGACAATCAAATTAGGTGTGCATTCTTTAGTCCAAGTTGGTACTCTAAACATTTTGACCCTCTGGTGAAAGCTCACTTTACGTAAGTGTGTCACTAAAGTGAAGACAGGGGTCACATCAAGTCTAGAGAATTCCACTGAATCTTTCCTGTCCCCAGAATCTAAGCCATGGGTCTAAGGAGACTGTCCACTAGAGAGGTTACTCCAAATTTCATTAGTGAAGCTCTTCTACAGAATCCAGGGCAAGCATGTCAGCTAGTAATTTTTCTCATTAGCTAGATTCAAGCATATTAATTATTTAAATAAAAGTCTTTTTAGCACCTAAGGCACAAGGACATCCAGTGATAAATGAGGATGATGTCTCAGTATTAAGTAATATGTGAATTCCATCATTACAGTACATAAAACCAATGCTTTACAAACTTTGATTTATGCTAAGGAATTACCAAATGGTGTTGTTCTATTAGATTATAAAGGAGTCCACTGGAAACCACAAAGTTTATTTGGGGGTTATTTGGCATCATTGTTTTGTTACAGAAAATACTAGAACTATTCTTTAGGGAAGATTAAAGACAAGAAAAGGCACAACTGGAATTCAGGCAAATTTAATTCTTAAGACATATGTATGTAACCTATGTATTGTACTAACGTTGTCTAAAATAGTTACATTAGCCTATTCTAAACACTGGTCATGAAAGGATTAAATTGGCCTCCTTCTCTATTTCGTATCTTCAGACTATGCAGCCACAATCTTTCCTTCAAAAGTCTCAGTAAATGCAACTTTCAAAGGGAATAATGAAGCCATAGATAAAAGGAAATTCACAATGACACAAGAAAATGTCAATAATACATTAACAGGAAAACCATGAAAATACACGTTCCTGAACACAGCACGCAAGTAGAAGAAATGTACCAAAGTGTTAATTTATGTCTGGGTAGTTTTGTTTTTCTTATATATTCTTCAATATTTTATAAGTTTTTTATAATGAGCATGTTTTGCTTTTTAAGGAAAAAAAAGTTCACTAAGAATTTAGGGATCAAATCAGCTTTTCCTTCAAAATGTGAAATAATATGGGCACTGCAGAGGTTGGGACGGTGTGCCTACCTGTTTCAAAGGATCATTTAGTAAGAAAAAGCACCCTTTTCATCAAAACCGTCAACTCTCCTGGCCACACGAACACAGTTGATCGTCTTGAAAGGGTGATTCACTTCATGTCAGAGGTGACAGTCCTCATAAATTAGTTTTCTTTGGTTTTCCCATAACTAGAGTACTTACTACTATTGCTCTTTTAAGGAAGATCTTGTCAGAGAAAGTCAGTTTAGGACCAACATTGCTGACTGTAGATCAGAGCACTCAAAGTGTTCGACATGTTCACAGTTTCTGGTAACATGACCCAGCACCGATATCCTGAGAGCGAAGGTCACAGAGGTAGGCACATCCAACTAACTGGGCTGAGGGGACTAAAGATAATAGCCCGCCCTCCCACCAGGGCCCTTTGGGAAGGATGCAAAAGGCAGACAACGCATACTCACTGCATGCGTGTAACAGTTAGCAGCATGTTCATAACAGGTTGGTTTGTAGCGGCCATTGGCTGGGGCCCGGTGGTTCATGAACCTGTCCAAACAAAAAGACATCACGTGAAAAAGCTCAAAGCGTGTGAAGAACAATGGGGAAGGCTGCCAATATTGTTTGGTCCATTCTAATTGCAGAGGGGACTGCTAGAAATACCTAGTTATGGGAACAAAAACAAAGCCACCAAACAGGTGTAAACTGAGCCAACAACCATGATCTGAAAGCAAATGCCTTAGTTCACTGGATTAAGTATTCTTTCAGTTTAGTCAAAAGAAAAACCTTCTACCAACCAAAAGCAAATAGAAATCCTATCCACCCTCTTCAACTCATACCCCACCCCTATGCTAAAAAAAATTACAAAGAAAAAAAAGGCACAACCAAATCTTAAATCTTAGGGGAAAAAAGCAAGGGAATTTTTCTAAACTTTAAAAGCCTGTAGCTGCCATTCGATGAAAAGGGACACAATACAAGGCTTCAATTTTCTCTCTCAAAATGCATAAACCTTTATACATGTCGATCCTTACATCCTACATTCCACAATTAGCAGGCCCATCCAACTAGTTTCCCTATATTGTATTACCTGTGCCAGCACAGAGAGCTTAAATAAATGATGCTGGGCTGCATCTAGGCTGCCTAAACAAGAGATATGTTTTTACCTGCATTCTTCCTGAATTAAAAGTTTGCTTCCAAATCCAAATATATGACTACTACCTGATACTCTGGCTATACAATTCAGATATACTTGGGGCGCCTGGGTGGCTCAGTCAGTTAAGTGTTGGACTTCAGCTCAGCTCATGATTTTATGGTTCGTAGTCCGAGACGCCCATCAGTCTCCTCGCTGAAAGTGCGGAACCTGCTTGGGATTCTCTTTCTTCCTCTCTCTGCCACCCCCCTCCCCACCCCAAGTAAATAAACTTAAAAAAAACAAACATATACACACAAATATGTGTATGTATCTAAATACCAATATCTGTTATACATATAGACACATACCCATATTCCACACTTCCCTTTGGGCCAACTCTGTGGAAACAAGTGCACAGTGAAAACCATGAAGCATTCTTCCACTTCAGTGTGTAGGTAAGGCTCTCCCCAAATCCAACCCACACCCGTGCCATGTTTTCTGAGGGATGCTGGTTTATTCTGTCTGTTCTGTTGGAAAAGGGGAGATGTAAGTTCAGGCAGATAAAAAAAAGCGGCTGCCTGAAAGAAGCAAGCAGATGCAGAGAAACCAACAGAGGTAAAAGAACCCCAACAGCAGGCAGGTCTCAGAGGCGCCACTGGATTCCTGGGCTTGGAGCCTGCAAGATGTCAACAGCCTTTGCAGGATAAATTATCCTTTTGCTTCAGCTAGTTTAAGATGGGGGAGGGGGGAGATTTTGTTATTTGCCACTAATGAGTTCTGACTAGTCACACCTTATTAATCGCCATGATGAAAAAATGGTACCAGGCTGAACCAAATGGCAGAGCCAGGATGCCAAAAATTGGCTGAAGCACATGGTCAAGGCATCCTAATCAGTGCCTGGCTTAGGAACAAAAGACTAGCATTTTCTCCCTGAATTAAAAGGGCCTGTTATCCTTACAGCAAATAAATAAAAAAGAAGACAGCAGTTCCTGTTAACCCAATATAGAGAGTTCAGATGGAAAATCCACTGGGGAATGAATTTGGGACAGTGAAGATATTTCACTTGCACCACCAATGAGTTAGTTATCTAACTCGTGTGCAGAATATGTACGGATTGAATGGAATTCGCCAGATGGTCTGAAAACTGTTTAACAGAAACGTGCAGTTAACAGCTTCAGATTTTATCCAAGACATTCTTGCACATACATAAATAAATCTTTTTCTCCCCTGATAATCCTTTAAATAATTTTACTAATTTCCTAAGGGGCAAGAGTGTTGCTACAGAGCTGTTATTAGTAAAGGGGAAAATAATTGCACTCTTGGGAAGAATGCTTTCAAAGTGTCCCAAGCATTCAAGGATCTACCTCATCATTACTCCGAGACATAACAGAGCTGTAAGTCGCATAACCTATTAGGAATTTTATATATATATATATATTTTTTTTTTCAATATTTATTTTGAGAGAGCACCTGTGAAAGCGGGAGAGGGGCAAGAGGGAGCGAGAATCCCAAGCAGGCTCCATGTTGTCAGCATGGACATGGGGCTCAATCCCATGAACCATGAGATCATGACCGGCACTGAAATCCAGAGTCTGATGCTTAACGGACTGAGCCACCCGGTCGCCCCCCTATTAGAATTTTAAAGGGTAAAGAACAAGATGGTGGAGGGTAGATTGAGAGTGTTCTGTTTAGGGTGCAGTAAGTAGGGTTTGTCTACCCACCACCAGGCTGAGGACTAAAATAGCAATTTATATCTCTGGCAGCCCAATCTAAAAATAGTCAAGCCATTACACAGCAACAGGGATAGACTTTCACATTTTCTCCTAAAAGCAAAGAAGCTGGGTGGCCACGTTTATGACAGCTTAGTCCCTGCCCACCCGGAATCACTCAGGGTAAAAATAAACTCGTAAGTTGTAGAGAAAAATATCCCACCCATGTGACTTCAGGTAGTCTCTCATGGACAGAGCCAGATTTGCTTCTAAGACCAGCGAAGAGCAAGTCTGCAAGAAGCCCATCACTGTCTGGGGCTCAGTGAAAACCATGGCACAACATGTTCTGCTGGGAAATTGACAGTGCAATTTGTCCATTTGTCTCTGATCTGCCGGGTAGAATCAAGCCTCCAACATAGCCTCCTGAAGAAATCGTTCCTAAGACCTAAATGGAAAGGCAGAAGTAAAATGCAAATCAACGCCCACACAAGGAACCTATTCTATTCTCTTCCTTCAAAAAGAATGAGAAAGGTCCTCAAGTGTTATGGAAAACAGTGCCCATGTATGGAAGCTGCCTCTACTTCAGGCGGAGTAACCCTAGAAGAGAGTTTCCAGAGGGTTTTACTGGGTTTGAGGGAAGGCGATTTAATCCTGGGTGTGGGAACCACACTTCTATAAAGTTTTTAGTCACGTTTGTTCACTCATCTCCTCACTTTCTTTCAACACTCTCTCTTGCTTCTCCCTTACTCAGGGAGAAAGAAAGGTGACAAAACTTCAAAACTCTGGAGAGAAAGAACAGATAGCCCAAAGCACTGGGCCTTCTGAGAGACTAGATCCGCATCTCATCTGTAGATGTCTGAGGCCCAAGGTCAAATCCCAGAAGCTGTCTTTGATTCCTAGGTGTTCCCCATTCTCCAAATACAAGTGCTGTCAATACCACTTCCAAGTATATTCCAGATCAGCCTACTCTAGACAGTTCCACAGACCCCACCCTACATCAAGACATCGACCTCTCTGATCTATAAAACACGAATCTCTTCATCAGTCTCCCTACTTGTCCCCCCTATATACTGTCTTCTTCATTTGGCACCCACAATAGTCTATGAAAACCAGATCATAGCACACACCCCAACTCTAGCTTAAAACCTGCCTTTGGTGGCCTGGGCCCCACCACTGCTGCAGCCTCAGGGTGCCACCTTCCTCCCACTTTCCACCCTCCAGCTACACCACCTCCTCTCTGCTCCTTAAAACACCAAGGTCTTGGGGCGCCTGGGTGGCGCAGTCGGTTAAGCGTCCGACTTCAGCCAGGTCACGATCTCACGGTCCGTGGGTTCGAGCCCCGCGTTGGGCTCTGGGCTGATGGCTCAGAGCCTGGAGCCTGTTTCCGATTCTGTGTCTCCCTCTCTCTCTGCCCCTCCCCCGTTCATGCTCTGTCTCTCTCTGTCCCAAAAATAAATAAAAAACGTTGAAAAAAAAAAAAACACCAAGGTCTTATCTGGCTCAGGGCGTTTGTGTTTGCTGTTTATTTCTGCCTCTAACGTTCTTCTCCAGAAGGTTCAACCTTCCTCACCTGTCAAGCTCAGCTCAAGTGTCAGCTCCTCAGAGGTTTTCCTGACCATCCTACCTAAAGTATCATTTCAGCCCTCCCCACCCCACCAGGACCCTTACCAGAATTAGTAAAAATTGGGCTTTTTTTCCCCACTTTTGTATTTTTTATTTCATCTTTCCCCATGGTAATGTGAATTCCACGAAGCCCTTCCTGTTTACCATTTCTTTCCAATCCCAAGCACAATGCCTGGCTTACTATTGGAACTTAATAAGTGTTGAGTGAATAAATAGAAATTCTGGCTGTCGCTTAACTATTTTGTCTTAATCGAGAGGTATCCCCTTGTCAATTAGTTTCACTGGGGATCCAACAGGTTCTGTATGTAATAAAGAGAAACAGGCAGTCTTAGGGCCAAAAGAACCTTAAGTCTCATGAAAAGGCAAAGACCATGGACGTTCCAAGGGCTCTTTCAACATCACTTGATGGAGCAACGTAAGCCAACCCCGACACACAGCACCTTATTATTAGCCAGTTTATGAGTGAGCATGGTGTGGTGTTCAGGAATAGTGTCCACTGCCAGAGGTGATGATAGTGGTGGAAGGCATTTAGTTTAATTATTGAATAAGAGAGAGGCATATATATAAGAAGACTACTCCATGCCTGTAATTCAGTGTTCTGAGAACATATTTAAAAATAAAAAATAAAATAAAATTTAAAAAAAGGCAACAGGCTGTCCTGGAAGACATCCTAATGCTCACGAATCAGGTACTTTACCACGTTATCAGATCACAAGGCTGGGGCTGGGGAAAGGAGCATCCTTCTTCGATTTTCAGTAGCAAGGCTGGAGAAAGGGGTATATATACCAATACAATACAGTAGAGGCTCTGCGGACCCTCAGCCTCAGCGCTTTACACAGGGATGCTGTGGTGTGGGCAGGGAGACAGAAACAGGCGAACTGGCAGCGGTGGTGGGTGGTGGAGAGGGACAAAACACTGAATTGAAATAAATGGGTCTGCCCTTTCCCAGCCATGTGATTTTGGCAAGTTCCCTTTAACTCTCTAGCTCGATTTGCTCTTCCATGAAATGGGTATAACATTTATCTTCCAGGGTTAGAGTTGAGAAGGAGACGAGTAATATGCAAATACCCAGCCACTGCCTGGCACAAGTAAGTACTCAATAAATGTTAGCAGCTATTCTGATCAGTCAGGGATGCTGCCATAGGGAGAAAATGACTCTGGGTGGGGGGGAGGGCGTGGAGTGAGACTCAAATGTGGAAGATATGCTCTGTGTCCCAGTGGCACTTTTCATATCCTAAACTTTTTGAGAAGCCATGCATGCATAAAACCCTCCGCTTAGCACAGTGGGCTGCACTTCCTTACAGCCTTCTGCGGAAATGGCAGAACCATAGAAGTTTATCCAAAGCCACAATGACCACCGAGTTTCTATTAAGAACAAACCAGCAAGGTGTTCATTTCTTGTAATTTAGGCACAGCCACAAACTACAGCCTAATGAAATGTTTTTACTGCAATCAAATGCTCTTCAAGGGAGTACCGATAAATCTATCTGGAGAAGCAGACACATGCATTCAAAGACAGTATGTCCTTCCCTCCAGTTTTTCTGTAACTTACCTGCCTATAACTTTTCTGAATGCTCAAAAGATACATAATGAACAAGGCTCTAAGGGGTGATGAACAGCACCCTCAACATTTTAATGTTGTAGACCACAAAAACCAGGATTTTTCTTAAATTAATTTGTATTTGCAGGCTTCATAACCAAGTACAAATTTGTCCTTAGAAATGGCTTTCCAGTCTAGTCTGTAATAGAAAAACAAGCAATTACGTGATCATTCAATCTTCAGAGAAAATCAGGGTAGGTGTAGATGCCATCCAAAAAATACATGTTAAATATCCATTCCTATTGTGCAGTCACTGAGAAAATTACAAAGTCTATGCCACACCAAAAGAAAATACCTCTAGTTTTCATTTTTAAATGAAAGAAGTGGAGTGCAAAATCACATTACTGCATTGATAATAAGGGATGGATAAATTAGCATGCAGCAAAAAGTAGTTCAACCAACTGAGATAGTGGGATCCTAAATGAAGGTGTTTTTTTTTTTTTTTTTTTTTTCATTTTTCTGAAGATTTGTTTTAACGTTTGGGCAAAAAAAGGGGGGGGGCTTTTTTTTTTTTTCTTTCTAAAGGAGAATTCAAAGGACAGGAAAGAAATACAAATTCAATCAAATAAGGAAGGGTAATTTCACAGAATATTTCCACTGTTCTCTGAAAACAGGAAGAGCACAAGATGTGCAAAGAAGTAAAACCAAATCAAACAAACCACATGCACAGGGCTTTACCAATCATGTCTCAATGCAGGTTCCTTTCTCCCTTAAGACCCCTCCAATCTTCATTCCTGACTTCAGTTCTAAAGCCAGACATCATGGTTCTTTTTTGCCTTTAGAAGCACTGATACCATGTTCCCACCTGGGGAATATTGCCAGGCATTCAACACCCTGAGTGATGAGCAATATTCAGAAGTTAATCCAAGTCTTCAAACTGATTCACCCTTCTAATGGCACAGCCCACCCCAACTCTTCCTATGCATTTTTTGGCTCCTTTACCTTTGGGGCCTGGGGGGAGGAATGAGAGAAGCATACTGGGTGAGTGGGCATGGGAAGATTAGGAGGTTGGAAAGAAAAAAAAAAAAAAGTACAGTTTGAAATTCTGAAATAAAAGGCAACGTCTAAAACCTCAACAATAACCTCCTTGGAGGATTTCATGCATTCCTTGTCTTCTTTCAAATTCCCATTACTGCACACCAAGCTTGCCTGCTAGTGAAGGTCTGGGAATGGGGCCACGGCTGACAGATTCAGACAAAGGATGGAGAGTGAAACACAGGGGAGATGAACTTTCACCCACTTAAACGAAGAAGAATTAGAAAAAAAGCCCAGAGCTTCCTCTCGGAACCATGGGCCAGCCCCCATCCATGGCTAAATGGCAGACACCCGAGTCGGGATTAAGGCCACGGTGCCTCCCTAGGCTGGCGTTCCCACCAGCCCTCCAGTGAATGAGCTGCCGGCCAACCTTCCGGTGGCGCCTCCTCGGTTCCTCCTCCTCGTTTCCTAACACAGGCGCCTCAAAGCAGCTCTTACCACCCGAATGCTAACTTGCCCCTTCGCAGTGCCCAACACAGCACCGCCCTTGGACGCTAAGCCAGCAAGCTCAGAGAACCAGCAAGGCCCGGACCTGGCCGGGCAAGGCTAACCCAGTGGAGCATGCCTCAGTTTCCCTGTTGCTAGGACCGATCACAGACAAAGCACTAAAACGCCCAGCACCCCGGTTTACGACAAATCAAACTGCAGGGCGCAGCGGCTACCCGACCCCTGTTCCGCGCGCCCCGGGGGCCCCCCACGCTGGGGATTTGGGGTGGAGGCCACAGCCGGGGTTGGCGGAACCGGGGTCGGCGTCTGCGGCTGCGGCTGCGGTTTGGGTCCATAGAGCAAGGCACGAGCACTTGCCGGGATGGGGGTCGGCAGGATGCAGTCGGGTGCGCAGTGGGATCCCGAGGGAGGAGGGCAGGCTCGGGGTTCGGGGTCCGGGAACCCGGGTCAGGCACAAGATCCCGATGCTGGGAGGAAGGGGATCGCCCGGGGACGGCAGGGCGGGGAATCCCCGGGGAGCTGGTCCCCGGCCAAGGCGCGGGATCCGCGGGGGGATGGATCCAGGTGAGGAGCCGGGACCCACGCCGGACGAGGCGGGATCGGGGACCCGCTGCCGGCACGGCCGGCGGGGCAGGGGCGCCATCCCTCTCACCGCTGGAATCGATTCTTGAACCGCATTGATCCTCCGCTCCTCCTCGGGGGCCGGGAGCTCCGTCTCGTCTGCGCCGGCGGCAGGGCGCGCGGCCCTCATGGGCTTGGGCTGCTCCGGAGGCCGCCCGCGTGCCCGGCGGACCGCTCGGTGGGGCAGGCTGGAGTGGGCCAGGCCGGGGGTCGGGACAGGGTCGGGGCCAGACCGGGCGGCTGGGGGCGGGAGGGAGGCCGCTTAAACGGCCCCCGCGCCTCCCGCCTCCCGCCTCCCGGCTCCTCCGCCCCCGGGCACCCGCGCCCCGCCCCGGAGCCCGGCTCCACCCCTGCCCGCTCCTCCGGCCTGCGTGCGCCCGCGGCCGCCAGCGCGTCACCGAGCCGGACGGCCAATCAGCACCCGGAGCGGCGCGGCGGCAAACCTGCCATTCATCCCGCAGGGTCCGGGCGGAGGGGCGGGGCCTCGCAGCTGGGGGCGGGGCCTCGCGGCGGAGGGGCGGGCTTAGGGGGAGAGGAGGAGGGCTGGAAGGGCGGCGCTCTCCTGGAAGGGGTCGAGGTGGACCAGGGAAAGCGAAGGGGCAGAGGGGAGAGGAGGAGAAATTGCGAAGGAGAGGATGGACGAAGACTCTTCAAAGTTGCTGTGAAGAAAATAGCAGCAAACAAGGACTTCTGTCTGCGTTCTAGTCCTGGCTGTGTGTCATTCATTCATTCTTCACCATTCATTTCTCCAGAGCTCCATTCATTTATTCCTTCACAATTTTGAGAGCCAGCTCTTGCTACTGTGCGAGGCTCCAGGGCAGAGTTAAAAACCTTTCCTTGTGTGCCATGTGAGAAGGTTGGTATCCCTAAGAAACGCTGAGATTAAATGAGAACCACAGATGGGGATATCCTCTACAGAGATCTTTTTATTGACGTCCTCCTCTTCTTCTTTTTTTAAATCTAGGCAGTTTCCAAACAGACCGTACAGTAGACATGAATCAGGATCCTGTCGCTAAACCTAAAACTAGAGGGCTTGCTGGAAGAGACGTTCAAAGGAAAGTGAATGATGGGTGACCTCTTGATCCTTTCCCTTATCACTCCTGGAATTTAGGTATGCTCCCCTCTAGGTAGGTAGCCTGTCCACACCCATCCTCCCACACCCCAAACCGGTGACTCTCAAGGGGCTATTAGGCCAGCTTGTTAGGAGTGTTTACTCTGCTGAAATTCTTTCACTCAGAATTCTAGTTCCCTTTCCTTGAGTATTTCCCAATGGACAGGTGCATTCCATGGTGATTTCATTAATTTCCCAAAAGAACTCCAGGAGATAGGCATTATCTTACTCATTTCACAGATAAGGAGACTGAGAATTTTGGAAACTTGCCAAAGGCAAATCTAGGATTTGTACCCATCTTTGTCTAATATTAAAGCCTCAGATCCTTTTGGTACACCACACTGTCTCTCCCTAGGATTTTAAATAGTATGTGTCTAAACAAACAAACAAGCAAACAAACAAGCAAGCAAAACTTTTTTTCTATACCAAGTGAAATATATATGAGGATGGATTAAAAGTTTTCTCATCTGTCTGGCCACCAGGCTGAATAAATTGATTGGGGTGGGGAAGATTACAAAGGAAATAACTAATAAAAATAGATCTAAATAACAATATGAAATAACTCTAAGAAGGTTTAAAAAAACACAATGAACCAACAGATGATTTCAGGTCACATTCTACTAATTACTTAGGAATGTGCAGAGAAAAGAGGCTATGAGAATGTGGTGGGGCTAATTTGGGGAAAGGGTACAGGAAAGAAGGAAGTCTGGAGATGGGTTTTGAATGCGATGATGGGCATGATTTGGCACAGCCTTTCATAAGGGGAGAATGGCTTGAACAAAGATGAGAAGTGGTTAGCGTGGGGAAAATTTGTGCGGGGCCACCTAGGTTTAGAAACATCAATGTGAATGGTATTTGCCCAAGAGAAAAAATGAGCAAGATAAAAATCAGATTAAACTAATAGAATAAAATTCCGTGACCTACAGGGTCATTTCTCTGCATATCCACAGAAATGCAGGAATATTAACTGGAAGTGGCTTGTGTAAACAATATGGTCACACATTTAAATCAGCCTCATTGTTGGTGAAACCCATCCCCAAATGTAAAAGCAATCTTGAAAAGATAAAAATAAAAGACAAGAAACAGCTTTGAATTAATTATGGAAACACCTGGCACATTATTTTTGAAAGTGACATGTCCGTTTGGATCTGTTTCTGAGGACAAATCCCAAATATTTTTGAGGAAAAAAGGTACTAGATTCAACTGAGAGATTAGTGTTTGGGGAGGGGAAGAAAGTGCACTAGCAGGATGTGACATTTTTGTTGAGCTCAGAGATACAGTTCTTTCTGCAAAATGGCAGACCCACACTTGCAGGGGCATGGCCTGTGCCTAGGAGAAAGAATTTGTGATGCACCAGGCACCAGCTGCAGAGGAATCTCTTGGAAGAACACCTGCTCTGCTAGCTGAAGGGCGCAGAGTTTCTGGACAGGATGCTGACCATACTAGGAAGCACCTGGAATCTAGTCCTCTGGCTGCCATCATCCAACCAGAAAATAGCAGCTCTGCTCACGACTGTGATTTCATCAGATGCCCAGGAAGGTTGCCGAACTTCTGATTTCAAGTCTTATTTTGTGAGTGGCTTTTCAATCTGTCTCTTCACCAATATGACCAAGTAAAGCAGTTACTAAAATGTAAAGGAGAGAGAAAGGACTGAGGTAGACCAACTACCTTGATTTACGTAATGAAGCTGAGTGAGGGAACAATCCACAATCTGCAGAATATTAGTAAAGGTGTTTTGTGAGGTGTGGAGGGATTTAGCTCAGTGAGAAAGTTCATAGAATTGTGGGCCATGAGAGGAATAGGCAGGGATTGTGAGAAGCTCTGCTACAAGTATGGGTTAAATTCTAATATTTTCCAACAAGTAAAGTTTAGAATCCCCATTTTATTATCTCAGCTGTTCAGTTGTATTTATTTGGAAGTGATTTCTTCAGAGACTGGACCACATGGAAGGCGGATATAGAATAGTTACACAGATGCAACTTTCTGTTGAATTGCCTAACGTGGTCCTAGAATTTTTACATGTAGGGGGGCTCATTTTATCCTTAAAACCATCCTGTAAGGGACAAAATGTCATATCTATTTTATAAAGTAGTGAAAGTTTAGGAAGGCTTTCTGAGTTACTTAATTTTGTAAGTGTAAGTGAAGAAGTAAGGTTTAAGAGTATGCTGGTGTGAGAACCCACGAACGTTTCTAAACTTGCACACACTGAAAGATGATGCCCTGAAATTTCACCTGCTACTGGAGCGTGTCCACTGGGCCCAGCATCATTAATTTATTTGTAAACCAAATGCAACTAGGCCTCCTTGGACGAACCCTTGCACCTGCTGTATGCATTTCTTCTACTTGGAAGAAACACAAACCTGGATGATTCTCTAAAAGCACAGATGAGTAATGGCAACTGTTACTGAAGTTTTGGTGAATGTGGAAAAGGGCATTACGGTGTGTATCACTTTTAAACATCTATTTCTCCAATGTCCTATGTCTTATGGGAGCTGCCATTTCTTTTTCTCTCAAACAACCCCATTTTCCCACCCAGCATATTTTTTTCCATACCAGTGGGGAAAACCCTCTACCCCAAGAAGGTCTGTCACTATGTTTTCTCATTGCAAAGAAATTAGGTCTTTCTCTTTTGGCTTCTGTCATTAGCAATACCAACCATCACTCTGTGGGGCAAAGCAAAGGGTCTTCATGGAGATCTACTTCTTTAAAAGATACAGAAAAGGAAGGACTTGAAAATAACAAATAAATTATTATTTTTATTTATCATACATTTATTGAAAGTCTAATGAGGTGCTGGATACAAAGTAGTAAGAGATGCCCTAGCCTCAAAGAACCTCCAGGTGGTAGGAGACAAAAACAATTGATCTTAAATCACTATTCATTGTGGTTAAGTGCTATGATGGAGTATTGTTCATGATTCTTTAAGGGCACATGACAAAAATCTCTAATGATATTGAAGCTGGGTGGGGGAGGGGGACTTTTCAGAAGAGACGACACTAGGACTTAGTACCCAGTGATTTGATGAGAAAGAGTAACTAAGCTAAGCAATATAGATGTTGATATTCAAAGAAGAGAGAGCATAGCATATGCAAAAGCACTACATGTTGGAAGACACGCAACTCCACATAATACAAATGAAAGGTGTTTGCGGAGAAGCATCATAGACAGATATGGAGGAGTAAGAGGGGTTCAGATTAAATAAAGTGCTAATGTGCTAAGCCAAGGAGATTTGGAGTTTATACTGCAAGCAGTACAGAACCCCTGGCAAAATTTGTTTGGGAGGGGTATGGATAAGAATATGGGTTGTCTATATCAGCTCTAACCAGGAGAACTTTGAATGATAGAAGTGTCCTATGTCTGCTCCCCAATACAGTAACAGTTAGCCACTTATGCTGTTGAGCACTTGAAATTTAGCTGGTGCATCTGAGGAACTGCATTTTTACTCTTGTTTAATTTTAATTTATTTAAATTTAAATAGCCATGTATGGCTAGTGGCTACCATATTGGACAGTGCCACCATACATCTTTCTCCTCTCTCTTTCTCTCTCTCTCCCTCTCTGTCACTCGCTCTCGCTCTCATTTAAAGATTTTGTTATTTATTTCAGGAAATATTGTTTTATTGCACACTACAGTTGACACACAATGTTACGTTTGTTTCAGATATACAACATAGTGATCCAGTAACTCTGTCTTACTATGCTCGCCACAAGTGTAGCTACTATCATGTGATTATCCTTCTCCACTTTATCTGTGCTAATAGAGAAACTCCAGTGTATAAGCTGGGCACGTGGCTGCCCAGAGTAAAGACTGCATTTTCTAGCTTGCCTTATAGCAAAGTATGGGCCACATGACTAAGCTCTGGGCAATGGGATGCGAGCTGAAGTGCGACTTCTAGGTTACGCCTTTAAAGGTACACTTTGCCCGGGGTGCCTGGGTGGCTCAGTCGGTTGGGCATCTGGCTCTTGGTTTCGGCTCAGATCATGATCTCATGGTTTAGTGATTTTTAGCCCAAGCACAGAGCCTGGTTGGGGTTTTCTGTCTCCCTCTCTCTCTGCCCCTCCCCTGCTCACACTGCCTCTGTCTCTCTCAAAATAAATAAACAAACTTAAACCAAAAAAAGGCATACTTTGCCATTCCCTTATCAATTTCCCTGTCTCCACAGGCTGAAGTGTGGGCATGAAAGAGAAGCCTTTGGAT